AAGTCTCATGATATTTTGAGGTCGGCCACGCGTACCTTTTACTCCTTCTGAGTTATGAAATGCACTTTTTTCACGATCCTATACCACGTGGCATGTAACCCCTCCCTATGTGACCTGAAACCCCTCCCTATGTGCCCTGTGACCCCTCCCTATGTGACCTGAAACCCCTCCCTATGTGACCTGTAACCCCTCGCTATGTGACCTGTAACCCCTTCCTATGTGGCCTGTTACTGCTCCCTATGTGACCTGCAACCCATTCTTATGTGACCTGTTACACCTCCGTATGTGATCTGTAACCACTCCCCATGTGACCTGTAACCACTCACTATGTGGCCTGTAACCTCTCCCTCTGTGACCTGTAACCACTCCCGGCCTGCAGTACATCCGGACGTGTATCGCCAAGGACGAGACGCCGCATCTGGCGATGATGTCGCGGCGCGCCATCTGCAAGGCCATCCCCACCAGCAACCACCTGGAGCCCATGTACGCGCGCCGCCCGCCGCCCAGGAGGCCACCGCCGCGTGCGCGAGCCCATCAACCTCTACAACATCAGCGACCCCTTCCTCATGACCGTGTGCGGCGTGCAGTACCTCAACGTGTCGGACGTGGACCGGGTGAGTGTCGGACGCCGGGCGTGGGGTGCGGTGCCGGCGCGTGCTGGCCTCCGTGGCGGGAGGGCTGCTGTATGGCCGCGTCTCGCCGTGTGCCCTCAGGCCACTGTCTGCGCCGGATGCCGATGTTGGGTGGTGAGCGGCCGAGCGTCTGAGTGTGTGTGTTGTGCCCCACCCTCCAGCTGCCTGCGCGAAGAAATGAGCTAGTCTTTGAATGGTCATTTAAACTCATCCGATGCTCTGTGTGTACACTGATTGGTATTTCTCTTCTGGGATTGTGGCTGTTGTCGTGCGTTAACTCGCAGGGTTGCGCGCTGGTCGCCCAGGTGGATCAGTAATCCGGCGCATGCATAAGTCGTGTGTCGGCTCACCTTTCTCCCCCGTCCTCGCTGCGTCCAATTGAAGCACCGCCCACGCGGGGGCCGACGCCACCTTTTCTGCCCCCGCCCCGTTCCCGGATCTGCACCCGCTCCGCCCTACCCCGCCTCGCCGCTGCTCCACCTCACCCCGCCCCTGCTCCGTCCCACCCTACCCCAGCCCACCCCACCTCCGTCTCGCCCCGCCCCGCACCCCGCCCCGTCCTACCTTGCTCTGCCCTGCCTTGCCCTGCCCTACCCTGCCCTGCCCTGCCCTGCCCTGCCCTGCCCTGCCCTGCCCTGCCCTGCCCTGCCCTGCCCTGCCCTGCCCTGCCTGACCGGGTGCGATGATGCCGCCGCAGTTTTACGTGAGCGTGGGCCTGTTTCTGGGCGCCACGGCGCTCTGCGACCTGGAGGAGACGCCGTGCGTCAGCGGCGACCGCGTGCCCCGCTGGAACACCACCATCACGTTCGAGACGCTCGTGCAGGACCTGCCGCTGTCGTCGCGCCTCTGCATGGGCGTGGTCGGCGTCTCCAAGCGGAAGAAGAAGGAGGTCAGGACGCGCGGGACAGCGCTGCTCGAGGCCGGGTTGGCCCGGGCGCGGACGGGTGGCTGAGTGGAGCGGCGAGATGGCCTGCCTTTGACCGAGGGGGGTCACTGATGACCCGGTGGTACTATGGCCGCACGAGCAGCTGGTGCTCGTGTCTGAGGGTGTAGTTTGTGGGTGTATGTGTTTTATGCTGGTGCCTGATGTTCAAGCGAATGATGCCATTCCATTCTGTGGGCTAGCTGCTGCTGGGGCCCTTTGCTTGTTCCATGCCTGTCCGTTTCCTGCTGACACGTTACGCCATGCCGCAGGAGCAATTCACGCTCGGATGGTGTAACCTGGCGCTGTTTGACTACCGGCGGCAGCTGCTGTCGGGCAAGAAAAAACTCCAGCTGTGGCCCGTGCCCAAGGGTCAGAACGAGAAGCTGTTTCCGCTGGAGGCCGTCGGTGAGCGCTGTGTGAGCGGTGTCGCATGACACAGAACAGGCCAGCGCCCGTAAGACGAGGCCATCCGAGTCGAGATGGCGGCTGCCCCGTCCCTGACCAATATTCCGGCACTATCACGCGTCCTCACCGGGTGATCCGTGATGTGACATTTCGTCGTCAGTCTGACGTGCAGGAACAGGCGCCCTGCGTGTCTGTCGGGGATGACGCGGCGAGTGACGTCGGTCAGCTCTGGGCGACCTTTCACGGCTCTGTTTCTTCCGTTGACTGCATTCACGCCAGCGGCACAATGGCGCCCTGACGTTCGGCACGCTTCCGCCCCGCCGCCGTGTCGTGCTCCGTCGCCCGCCACGCCGGCCTCAACGCGTGACCGCGCCGCCGGTGCCGCGCAGGCCCGAACCCCGTGCAGGACTCGAACGCCGCCGCTGGCTGGAGGTGGAGCTGCCCACTTACCCGAAGCCGGTGGAGTTCCCCGCCGACGAGTGCGTGCACGAGCTGGGCGCGCTGGCCGACGCGCCCTCGCCGGCCGAACAGAAGGTGGGTCGCCGGCAGAGCGGGCTGCCAGCTCGCTGGCTTGGCGCGCGCGCGCACGGCTCAGGCGGCCGCTGCGGCGCGCAGCGCGTCGCCTCGTTCGGGCGGGACCGCGCCGCGGCGGCCACGCCGACGGTGGAGGTGTCGCGGCTGATCTCGTGTTCCTCACTGACTGTATCCTGACAACGCCTCCGGCCGCGCGGCAGATAACGGTGGAAGTGTCACAGCGTGTCCCGTGTCCTCCCCCTGACTGTATCCTGACACCGCCTCCGGCCGCGCGGCAGATAACGGTGGAAGTGTCACAGCGTGTCCCGTGTCCTCCCCCTGACTGTATCCTGACACCGCCTCCGGCCGCGCGGCAGATAACGGTGGAGGTGTCACAGCGTGTCCCGTGTCCTCCCCCTGACTGTATCCTGACACCGCCTCCGGCCGCGCGGCAGATAACGGTGGAGTGTCACAGCGTGTCCCGTGTCCTCCCCTGACTGTATCCTGACACCGCCTCCGGCCGCGCGGCAGATAACGGTGGAGGTGTCACAGCGTGTCCCGTGTCCTCCCCCTGACTGTATCCTGACACCGCCGCCGGCCGCGCGGCAGATCACGGTGGAGGTGTCGCAGCGGATCCGCGAGGTGGCCTGCCGGGACCCGCTCTCCGACATCACGGTGCAGGACGCCGGCCTGCTCTGGACGTACCGGCGCTACTGCCGCGCCCACATGCCGCACGCCGTGCCAAAGCTGCTCGACGCCGTCAAGTGGGACTCGCGCAAGGACGTGGCCCAGGTGAGGCTGACGGGGCCGAGAGGCCGGGACGCCGTCGCAGGACGGGCAGAGCGGTGGTTGCAGGCTTAGCAGCCGAGCCAGGGAGCCGTAGTGCCCTGTGCCGCCTGGCCAGGCGTTGCTGGGGTAGGCGTGCCAGCTGGGCTGCCATCGATGGATAGGCTGATGGCTGTGGCGGGCGGAGGGCGGGTGTGGGCCGCCTGACGGCAGCTCCGGGCTCGCGCTAGGAGCTCGGCGCTGCCAGCTCCCGTGGCGCAGGCTCCCAGGGGTCTGGCGCGCTGTGTTTGCACCCCTTGTGCGAGGTGACCTGGTGAGAGCGGTGACTCACGGCGTGTTTGCGGCGGTCAGTTCTACCTGCTGCTGCGGGACTGGCCGTGCGTGGACGTGGAGGTGGCGCTGGAGCTCCTCGGCTGCAAGCACCGGGACCAGAAGGTGCGCGAGTTCGCCGTCCGCTGCCTCAACAAGGTGCTCACCGATGACAAACTGTCTCAGGTAAGGCGCTCAGCCGTGCGACAACCGCAGGGATTCGGCACCGATTAAAGCAGTATCCAGTGCAGTTGCAGTATCTAGTGACAGCGCATCGGCTGGCCGTGTCGGTGTGTCATGGCGGTGCGTCGTGTTGTGACAAAGGCATTGCAATGCAAAACCTGTTCATGCTTTGGTATCGACTAGAAGGTTAACGTAAAAAGCACCGTTAGGGTAGAGTGCTTCAAATGTTTAAGCCAACTCAACATGCCATGTCAGTTGCTCTTGTTTTTTTAGTTGTTTCGTCGCTCTCCTACAGTTGTCCCTATCGTTGTCAACTTGTTCATGCTGGTGCAGATGCGTGTATTTATCTGCCATGAGCCATGCCAAATCGCCACAGGCCGACATTGTGCCGGCTTGTGGAAACAAGTGGTACGTAATTGCCATGTGCCCCACACTGGGCGTATCCACCCCCGCGGAGGGTGTAGACCGCACCAGTCTGTTGTTGACTGTTGTCAGACTCAGACAGACTCAGACTCAGTCAGACTGTTGACGCCACCCCGGCCCAGCTGGGACAGTTCGGAGTGCCCCCCGTCGGCCGGCACGTGGCGGCGGTGCGGCGCCGCTGCCCGGGCCGCCTCCCCTGGCCGGTCGGCTCAGGCGGGTGGTGTGCGCGTGCCGCCAGTACCTGATCCAGCTGGTGCACACGCTGCGACACGAGATGCACCTGGACAACGCCCTGACGCGCTTCATTCTGGAGCGGGCGCTGCGCAACAAGAACATCGGCCACTTCCTGTTCTGGCACCTCAGGTGGGGCGCGGCCGGCCGCGCTGCGGCGCCGTATGGAAGGGGCGCCCTGGGAGCTGGAGGTGCGGTAGTGGCGTCGGTTGGGAGAGGCGCGCTGGGGGCTGGGGGTGCGGCAGTGCGCCGGGTGGGAGAGGCGCGCTGGGGGCTGGAGGTGCGGCAGTGCGCCGGGTGGAGAGGCGCCCTGGGGGCTGGGGTGCGGCAGTGCGCCGGGTGGGAGAGGCGCCCTGGGGGTGGAGGTGCGGCAGTGCGCCGGGTGGGAGAGGCGCCCTGGGGGCTGGAGGTGCGGCAGTGCGCCGGGTGGGAGAGGCGCGCTGGGGGCTGGAGGTGCGGCAGTGCGCCGGGTGGGGAGGCGCGCTGGGGGCTGGAGTGCGGCAGTGCGCCGGGTGGGGAGGCGCGCTGGGGCTGGAGATGCGGCAGTGCGCCGGGTGGGAGAGGCGCCCTGGGGGCTGGAGGTGCGGCAGTGCGCCGGGTGGGAGAGGCGCCCTGGGGGCTGGGGGTGCGGCAGTGCGCCGGGTGGGAGAGGCGCGCTGGGGGCTGGAGGTGCGGTACTGGTGCCGGGCGAGAGAGGCGCGCTGGGAACCGAAGGTGCGTTAGTGGCGCCGGTTGGGAGAGGCGCCCGGGGGGCTGGAGGTACGGTAGTGGCGCGTGATGACGTCGTGAAGCGCACCATCACATCGCCTGTGTTCCCACGCCGCGCTGTGTGCCTCTGGAGTGACGAGGTGACGGTGGTGGAAACGGCGGCTCGTTGCTATTAATTAAGGTTACCTCTCGTTCAGGCGTGGCGCATTGACAGCTGTTGCCCGCGTCCTGACCCAGTCGGGGCTGAACAGACAGCGGTTTGGTGGTCCATCGTGTGGAGAGCAGATTGTGGCTTAACAAAATGAGTGTGTGTGTGTGGGGGGGGGGGGGGAGCGATTGTGTAGTGATTAACGCGTCTGCGTTAACCGCTGCCGGACTGAACAGTGAAAGATGACTCACCCTGCAAATACTCGCAACAAACGGGGTTCTCCCCAGATCTGGCCACATCCCTCCCTTAAGTTGGGGGGGGGGGGGGGCTGGAGGCAAAGTTGGGGAGGGGTTCAGCCCCCCCCCCCTCCAACTAAAAAGGAACTACGCCCCTATGAGGCGATAGGCCCCCCCCCGCCGGCAGACTGTGGATTGGTCGGCTGTCGGTGACGTCACTGGCTCCGCCCGTCAGGTCGGAGCGGCAGTCGGCCAGCTCCAATCAGCGGTTTGATCTGTTGCTGGAGGCTTACTGCCGCGGTCTGGGCCAGGAGCACATCAAGGCGCTCAACAAGAAGGTCCAGTGCCTGGAGAAGATCTCCATTCTGACGCAGAGTCTCAAGGATCGAAAGGACGAAGCGCCCAAGGTGAGGCCAACGATGCGTTGTCTTCCACGGCAAAGGCTTGCTTATTTCATGTATTTTCAAGCATTCTGTCTGGGCGGCCTTTCAGACTTCTTGTTTTTGAGATGTGTGTTTCGGTGGCATGGTATACTGCGCAGAATTATAGCCTAACACTGCTGATTATCAGTTCTGCTCCGCGCGCTCCCGGCTGTGCGCCGCTGTGCCTTTCGACAGGCGGGATCCCTCCCGTTGCATGTGAGCGTCTGGGACTGACCGTGTGCCGGGCCGTGGCAGGAGCGGCATAAGTACCTGTGCGAGCGGGTCAAGCAGAGCGACTACCTGGAGAGTCTGCAGAACATTCCGTCTCCGCTGTCGCCTCAGGTGCTGCTCGGCGAGATCCTGGTAGGTGCCTCGCCCCCGCCGCGCAGCTCACCAGCCGCGCCACTGTTGCGAACACGTCCTGTCGCATGCGGCTCGTTCGGACATGCCGTTGGATGCGTGCAGTGCATCCACGCGGTCTAGAGTCGGTGGACGCTCTCGTCGTGGCGTGATCGGCCCGGTCATCAATCACCGCCCGGCACGGTGTCAGGACGCTGACGCTGCGGCGGCCATCAGGCCTGCCGTGCTTGGGCTCTCTGCCGGGGCCTGTCACTGCTCCCTCACAGAGACGGGTTCGCCGGCGGCTGGTCGGCGGCGGCGACGCGGCGTCTGCGCCGATCCCGCGCGCTTAGACGCGGCTACCTCGTCGCTGTCCGTAGTCACGGCTTGTGGTCTGGCGGGAACGGCTCACCAGGGGATGTGGTGTCATGCCACGGCCGCGGGCGTGCGGCGCGAGGGGCCGGCGATTTTCCCCCGCTTTAGTTGACGTCAGGTAATGAGGTGCCAGTGGTCGCAGCGTCTTGCTGGCGTCGGGGGCCACTTTGACTTTTTGTTTCAGTGGAGCGCCACGGACGTTATGTCAAACCAGCGCGGATTTAAATGCAACATTGTCGAGCCCCTCCCCCGTCTTGACAAAGTCTCTACACAACTCACGGCGGCGGCACACACGTCCGTCCGTCTGACCTGGCCGACGCCCTGCGCCCGCCAGGTGGACGAGTCGCGGATCATGGACTCTGCGCGGCGGCCGCTCTGGCTCATGTGGACGAACCCGGACGAGACGGTGCGCTACATCGGGGACTCGCTGGAGCGCAACCGCGTCGAGAAGAACGCCATCATCTTCAAGAACGGAGACGGTGCGTCGGGGCGGCGACGAGCGATCGGCGCAGCGGGGATGTTGTGGGGAAAAGGAAGGGCTGTCTCTCCTATTTGCTCCTCCGCCTTCTGTACATGCCGAGCGGAGGGTGTCTCGGGAGAAAAGTCCCTGCTGTGGCGCGTTCGGCTGGGAGTGATGTCTGTCAGGCAGGCTGTCCAGCCAAGTACCCTTGGGAGCGTCGTTGTGGCGGGTGCGGCTGTGCGTGACCGCGCCGCGAGCCGTGAGCTGAAGGCGCCGGGTGACGGGCGCGCGCCTCGCTCGCCGCAGACCTGCGCCAGGACATGCTGACGCTGCAGGTGATCAAGATCATGGACCACACCTGGGACCAGGAGGGGCTCGACCTGCGCATGATGCCCTACAGCTGCCTGGCCACGGGCAGCATGGTGAGTCAGCTGGGCGCCCAGTCGTGCGGCTGGAAGAGGACGCCGGCGTCGCAACGGCGCCAGCCGGCAATGGGTGCAGGTTAAAAGGAGCCAGTCTCCAGGTGTTGTTACGGAGCGTCCGCGATGACGTCTACCTCTAAATTAGCCCTTGGCTTGTTTAGGAATGTGCGCGCCGCCTGTAACGTCGGGTGTATCATGAAGCCCTGCGCGGATCCATGCCGGTTATCGAAGACTGCTCTGGCTGGTGGTGCTACGTATGCCGGTGCCTCGAAGTCCCTCCGTCAAGCCGTCCGCCATTCTTCGGAATGGGTGGCTATCACCCGTCCGGCGTCGTCTGTTGAACGTCACGTGGTGTGTGATTGATCTTCGGGTCGCTGCCGCTTTCTCGCCGTGTCTGTGAGCTGCTCGCCCGCACCCCCCCCCCCCACCCCCCCTCCCATCCCCCGTCCATGCTCCAGTGTTGTCTGACCCCTCCCTCCTCGCCCGGCGGGACGCCACCGGTCAGCCGCCTGAACCCACCCCCCCCCCCCCCCCCCACCCCCACCCCCACCCCCCTCCCATCGCCCCGTCCATGCTCCAGTGTTGTCTGACCCCTCCCTCTCGCCCGGCGGGACGCCACCCGTCAGCCGCTGACCCCCCCTTTCCCCCGTCAGATGGGCATGATCGAGGTCGTACGCAACGCTAAGACGGTGTACCGGATACAGCGGGAGGCGAGCAAGCTGGCCGCCATCCAGGTGGACTCGACGCAGCTGCACAAGTGGATCCGCGACCGCAACCCGGGCCGGCTGTACGACGCCGCCGTCGACACGTTCACGCGCTCGTGCGCCGGCTACTGCGTGGCCACGTTCGTGCTGGGCATCGGCGACCGCCACCCGGACAACATCATGGTCAACCACCAGGGCCAGGTGGGGCCGAGTGGGGCTGGCCGTTCGGGACGGTCAGGCGCGTGGTCGGGTGCTGGCCGTCGGAAAGTACACCAAAAGTGGGCCAGCTGCCAGGGGAGAGCAGACGACAGCTGTCGGAAATCGGCCCCGGAGACGATGGCTGGGTGAAGGAGGAAGGTGGACGGCCGTCAGACAGATCGAGGGGGCGAGCTGGGATTGGTGGCGCCACCATTGTCGTCGGGTGCTGGGCTATGTTAAGGTAGCGGCTGTTTTTATGATTGTTCGTTCACTCGCATCCCGATTTGGGGACAGGAGGGAGTGGATGACACGAGCTGATAAATGGCAGGTTAAGGATTGGTCTGTGGCGAAGCGGTAATGGCGGGTGTGGCCAAAGATATGCGATTAAAGTAATGCTATGCTTGTATGCTGGAGCCGTGTACTGCGAGAGGGAACATGTGATGTGTCCTTCCCAAACCATTCCTGGATGTGGGCCACGCGCGAACTGGCAAACACAATTAATTTCGCATTATTCTTTGCCAGTATGCACTGAGCACCAAATTGCCCGTTATGCCGTGCCCCCCTTCCGTCTCGTCCCACATAAGAGTGTGCCTCCCCGGGCCGTGCTGCGCGCGCGTGCCTCGGCGCCCTGCCGTCGTCACAGCGGGCCCGGCACCTCCGGCAGATCTTCCACATCGACTTCGGCCACTTTCTGGGCCACTTCAAGAAGAAGTTCGGCATCAGCCGCGAGCGCGTGCCGTTCGTGCTGACGGACGACTTCTTGCGTGTGATCGCGCGCGGCGCCGACAACCCCAAGAAGAGCAAGGCCTTCCAGGAGTAAGTGCCGCGGGGCCCGGCGCCGCCCTGGTGACTTGGTGACCGTGACCTGTTGCGGGGACCGGCAGCGGGAGAGCCTGTGCTGGATGGCGCACGTGTGTTTGTGTGCGTGCGCGCGTGTAAGTGCGTGACGGAACGAGAGCGTGTGACTGCGGTATCGTCATCACCAGGTGGCGCGCTGGGGTCCGACGCCGGTCGTGTGGTCGTCAAATCCCTATTGAGTAAACTCCAGAGCATGCCGGCTTCTCCCAAGCCCCAACGATGTCGCGCGAGCTGCGCGTTGCCCTGCGGCGGCGGCGGCCGGTGGTGACAGTGCTGTGGCCGACAGTTTCCAGAAGCTGTGTGGCAAGGCGTACCTGGCGCTCCGCAAGCACAGTCACCTCTTCATCACGCTCTTCACCATGATGCTGTCCACGGGCATCACCGAGCTACAGGTGCGGCTGTGAACTGCTTCCTGCGCCTGGCATCGAAGATTGCCTCTGTTTACGGCTATTTAGGAGTAGTTTGTTGTAAAGCTTTGAGTATTTCAGTTTGGTTGCAAATTTGTGGCCGTTTTTGGACGAGAGGTCCAGGCTGCGCGCGTTAATGATTGGTTGCTGTATATTCATCTATTTATCACCTGTAATGCATTTTTGCGTGCCGGCCATCAAATCCGAAGTGTAGATTCAGTTTGGGATTGTTGAAGTGAGTAATTAAGCCGTACCAATTCAGCAATTTGTGGGTCGCACTATTCAGAAATTCGGGAAGGTGTGTAATTTGGCAGGGATCTCATGCTGCCTGGGTTTTCCAACGGCCTGAAGACATGGTTAGAGAAGTTTGTTCTGTTATCAGGGAATGCTTGTAAACGACTGCTCCGGCGTCTTGCCTTGTAGAAGACCCCGTGCCTGTGCGGATCCCGACCAGGAAGCCCCATGTCCGTATATATATATATATATATATATATATATATATATATATATATATATATATATATATATATATATATATTTATTACCAGAAGCCTATCTCGGTCCGGAGGCCCCTTGTCTGTACTGATCCCGGACAGTTGGTCCCGTGTCTGTACTGATTCCGGTCAGGAGGTCCCGTGTCTGTACTGATCCCGGTCATTTGGCCCCGTGCCTGTCTGATCCGGTCAGGAGGTCCCGTGCCTGTACTGATCCCGGTCAGGAGATCCCGTGCCTGTACTGATCCCGGTCAGGAGGTCCCGTGCCTCTACTGATCCCGGTTAGGAGGTCCCGTGGCTGTACTGATCCCGGTCAGGAGGTCCCGTGCCTGTACTGATCCCGGTCAGGAGGTCCCGTGCCTGTACTGATCCCGGTCAGGCCTGTGCTGATCCCGGTCAGGAGGTCCCGTGCCTGTACTGATCCCGGTTAGGAGGTCCCGTGTCTGTACTTATTCCGCTCAGCTATCTCGTCAGGGTGCACCGTGTCTACCGATCTACTGGTCATTGACTTGGTGCTGTCAGCCCCGGATTACCACTCAGAGACCGATGCTGGCGGCATGTCTCTGCGATGTCAGCACTGTGTCCCTCATCTCCTCGCCTTCGATGACGCTGCCACTGCGTCTTATCATCATCCCCGGCTGTGGATATCACACCGCGCGCGTCATCCTATCTGTTTTGCGGCATTCGTGGGGAGAGTACGCACCGGCCCGCCCGTCGTCCATGCTGGCTGATATCTTCGCCGAGTCTGAAGTCGCTGCTCTGATGCCACTACCGGGTTTGTCTTTCCCCGGCACACGAAACAGCCGGGGTCGGGCATTCCATGACCTACCCATGTGCCGTGAAAGCGTACATGAACTCTGAATCTCAGAAATACTTGGCCGTAAAAGTGGTTCGCCCTGCCCATTTTGGGGACGTTCCCGCGTCCATCGGTCATACCCGACCTGTCCGCGTGGCCACCGTGTGCGTCTCACTGTCACCGCCGCCGCCGGCAGTGCGCCGACGACGTCAACTACCTCCGGAAGACGCTGCAGGTGGAGGTGGGCGAGGAGCAGGCGCTCGAGTACTTCCAGAACCAGTTCAGCGAGGCGTACGGCGGCGCGTGGACCACCAAGCTCGACTGGTTCTTCCACTCGGTGAAGCAATGTAGCGCGTCGGCCGCGTGGACGGTGTGCCTTCCGGCGGCGCCCCGCTCTCCGGCCGGGAGCGTGCCGGCGTGCATTTAGCAATACGGCGTACGCGCTCGCGGCGGCGCGGCCCGCCCTCGCCGCCGGCGCTATTTATTGGTAGCTGCGGCGGATAGTCATGGCAGCGTGCGAGTCGGGAGCGAGTGCGCGCGCGAGAGAGAACCCGAGAGAAGAGCGCGCGAGCGAGTCCGAAGAGAAGCGCGTTCGACTGTTGGAGCAGGAGCGGCGCGCGCGTGGCGGTCGTTTTAGGGCCGCGGTCGGGCGGGTCTGCCGCGCGCCGGTCCGTGGGGACGGCGCGCCGGCCGGCTCGCCTTCGGCGGTCGTCTGTTTTACCGTGTATTGGGGCCGCCGGCGCCGTTCCGGTCGGGTCGGGCGGCGCCCTCGTGCGCGCGCGCGCTGGGCGGCGTCATCACTCCACTGGCGCTGGTGCGCCCAGCCTCTCACAGTGCAAACGGGCCGGCCGGCCGCGCGGTCGGCCCGCCGAATACATTGTAGTGCCGGACCGGCGGTGTGTGACTGCTGGGAGGCGGCCGGCGCGGCGCCGAGCGACGCGCCTCTGGTGACGGCCGGCCGGACTGAGCGGGCCAGCCAGCCGTCGGCTGCCGTCGGCGGGACCTACGCACACAGAGACACGCACGAGGCGCAGCGGGATGATGCGGCCACGGCCACGTGAGCTTGGGTCACAGCGGTCACGATGCGCTTGGGGATTGCACTGCCATTGAGCTCTCCTGGAGGGCGTGGATCTTGTCGTAACGCTGCTGAGGTAGGGCCCGTGTTTGCAGTTGGAATAAGATCACTGCTTGTAATCAAGGTCGAAAGTCGGCGCCGCCACTGGATGAAAATCAGTGCCATCAAGTATCGCACTCGTGCTCATCGCTGGGCTAACCCCCAAATTCCCGAAAGGCTTCGGACGGCGTTTGTTTCTGGTGACGATCGTACGTGATGACCCTGGTGGCGTGGATTGTGTTCGTGCTCTCTAGACCGCAGCTGGGCGCGTGCCGGCAACACGCAGCCGGGCGGTGTAGCGTCCCACGCCAGCGCGGGTCACGCATGAGGCCACGAGTGTCGTGACCCCAGCGAACACTCGGCGTTGCCCTGCGGCGCGGCTCTGACGCCGTGACGCGTCGGCCGTGTTCGTCGATGCTAATGGGACAAACCGTCCGGCCTCTGACGCCAGCCGTCCGGTCTCTGACACGGCACGTCAGTCGGCGCAGCGGGAGCCGTCGGGTTGTTTTGTCTTGCGCCGTCCCGCCGGTCGGCAGCGCACAAAGCGCCGGCCTGGGGAGGCGCCGCCGCTGCGCGCAGCTCGCGCCTGCGCACTGTAGCGTCGCTTCACACCGTTGATTCTTACTAAGCACGTATTTTGTGATGAGTTAGGAGTATCTTTTCATTACTATTACCTTTTTTTTGACCAACTGATTAAAACGTCGGGATTTTGTAAAGATGCCTGTGATCGATTTCCGCCCAAGGGAACTTTCGCTAGCCACGGCTGCCATCTGAGCCCGGCGATGGAGATGACCCAAAAGCCTGCCTGCTTTTATAGCTGTTGACCAAACAGTTTGCTCCGCTGCGGCACACTGCCAGCCGTTCCTCTGACGACAAACGCTGAAGAGAAGCCGGACAGGCCGCGCACTTGACGGGTCCAGTGACCGGGACGGCAGCTGTCCTCCGAGTCTGTGCGACTGCACGACGAGGCAGGACGCAGATGTACCGAGGTCACCCCGAGCCCGCTGACGGGGCGCTGGGGACGGCCGTGTAACCTCAACATTGCTATTCTGCGCAGTCCATTCTGGCCTTGTTTCCTATCCGAAGTTAAATAGTTTGTTTCATCTTCAGCACATTGCGACGTTTGTTTCATTTCGGTGGTGGCCAGCCCGGCGCTCGGCGACACGTTTCAGGTCCGCAGTGTCGTATTCACCTAAACGGTGAGTCAGACACTTTATGGCGTCCCTCGCCGGGCTGAAACCGCCGCCGATGGCCGTGCCTTAACAATGCATGGCGTTGCCTAAGCCACGGAGCTATAACCATTCCCCTGTGTACACTTGCGCCCGCAGATCCCTTTATTGATATGGTGCCATTCTGAACTTGCACCACGCCGCCAATGTCTTCACTAGTGCTGAGAACCGCGAACCGAAGACAGTGAGGCGGCTTCGTGTCTAGATACGCACGTTTGAATGGCTCAGGCCCGACGAGTTATAAGCGGTGTTTACATCAGTTGAATTTTTTGCTACATATCAAGGTGCGCATTCCTGGGCACATTATGGAGAGGCTGGAATGATGACGAAGGGCATTATAGGGCGTGTCGGCTACTGAGGCCATTTTGCGCTCTCGACAGGGGCTGGAATGGATGCGGATTGTGTGGTATCTGTTTTTGATTGAGTGGGGCGAACCGGTGCTGGCGGGGCGGTGGACGCTGACAGGGATAGAGTTGGATTGGAGGGGGGAGAAGAGAATTTACCTCGTTTGTTCACACGTCACCCCGCATTCGGTTACCGGACATTTTGTCCAGGTATGGGTCACCCCTTGAGTAAACCCTTCCCCTCCCCCCTCACCACGTAGCTCCGCCGGCCTTCCATTCAGGTGTGAACTCGCACTTGGCCGTCTTAACCAAGACACATACCAAGGGTGATCTGGAGACCGTCGAGGCATCTAATCCATGCCTCGGGGACGTCTCTCCCGTATGTGCAGCTTATGCTCTGCCCCCAAAACAGACCCGAAACTTGACATAGCACAAGAAAGCCGCGATGTTACCAAAAAGCATTCTGCGAAACACGCAACATAGCACGGCACGCGCGAAACTCAACCCATGAGCATGAGCAGTGGGCAGTGCGCTAACCATGGGGACCGACCTCTGTCGAGGTGGAGAGATCCACGGGCGCGTCACCGACGTCGGCCACATTCGTAACGTCAATCTCCTCGTCCGACTCCTCGCGACTCGCGGCGGCGCCCGCTCTCCGCTCCGGCGACGCCCCTAGCGGCGGCCGGCTGTAACTCGCAGTTTGCGGCACGCCCGCCGGAGGGCTCTGCCCGAGGCCGGCGCCGAGCCGCCAGCGCAGCAGCGCCACCGGATCGAAGACGGGCGCGCCGAGCAGCGGCGGACACGGCGCGGCCGGCAGCAGCCCCAGCTCCAGCCCCGGCTTGGGGAAGAGCACGGACGACGCCAGCTCCAGCCCCGGCTTGTGGAACAGCGCCGGCCGTCGGAGCAGCTGGAGCTCGCCGGCAAGACACGGCGGCAGCCAGGGCCTCGCGAACGGCACCCGCTCCAGCTCCGGGAACGGCGCTCGCTCCAGCTCCGGGAAGCACATCGGGAACCTGGGGAGCGCGCCCAAATAGATGACGGCCGGCGCCAGACGCTGCACTTTCCAGCTGTTTTATTGTTGACCGACAGGCGCAGAATCGGTTCGAACAGGATGTTCACATCTCAGAAGAGTTTCATCCCCGACTCTCCGTCTATGACCTAGCAAGCACGAGAAACTGCATCCAGGTGCCAATTTGCACCGTTTCTTAGCTTCACAAGTGCAGACTTGTTTCAGCGTATCACGAACCATGCACAGCGATCACATGGCTACGGGTTCCCATGGTTACGAGTTCAAACAAACACAGTATAGGGAAAGCCGTGTACTGGTTTTGAGAGCCCCGGAGTTGAGGGAACCATAGGAAAATGGTCGCACTTGAACTGTGATTAGTTACGGTATGTTGTGGGCTAGAAAATGTGCCTCATGTATTCAATATCGTAAACCGGACGACTAGTTCAGCGCGGCCACGAGAACATTCTGAAAGCTGTAGCAATTTTTACACAGCTGAAAAAGGGGATGCTTCCGCCCCCCTCTGTGCGAGCATCCATCGCCCAAAACGCTGCTTGTCACAGTTTTTGCCCCTATTCGTGTTCCAGATCGGTAGCGCGGACCCTGACCAGCCGCGTCCATTTACCTGGGCTCGCTTCTTCCGCTTGTGGCGGTGAGTTTCGGCCGCCTCCGGGGCTTGTACTTGTAGTCGGGGTGCTCCTTCATGTGCAACGCCCTGCAACAGAACAACAGTCCAAAATGTCCACGGGCGTCCGAGCGGATGGATGCCGTAACACTTCATGCTAATGGTAGCGTGCAAGTCAACGGAAAGGCACTGCGTCGTAAGAAAGCTTTTGCTTCCAATGCGATGCAGTATTCTTTTGCATTTGTCGCCGCGGGTGTCAGCGCCTAGTTGGAAGGGTACAGACATAAAGACATTCACAAATACAGCTGTTACCGCAAAGCACAGGTGACTATCACATTAGTCTGGCTGCGGCTTGTTGTTGCATAAGATAACTTCATAAATTTTCAAACGTCAGCTTTCATCGTCTATAAAAAACGGTCACTCATCGTCGCTACCGGTTTCGGTAGCGAATACCTCGCACTGGGTGCAGGTTCTCGATGCTATTACTAATCCTACGGAATTCGGTGCAGTCTGCCGCCACCACTAGACGTTCCTGGACCCCGGTCTTTGTCGATGCTCAGGTTTCGCCCAAACCGAACTGTCGGGTGACGTCACTGGCCTCTAGGATTCATCCAGACCGCGGCCAATGAGGTGGATCTACTC